GGGTCCGAGTAGATGAGGTCGGAGGATCGCGCCGCATCGCAGAGGCATCGCCGCGGGAGTTGTTGCTTAGCGTCGGGAGTTTTTGCTTGGCGTGTCGCGGCGGCAGCCCTGGCGACAGGCTATGAACTGCAAGCGGATAGCGCGTCGCTCGGCTCCGCGGGGCGGAAGGCTGGAAATAGCTCGGGATGTTGACGCTCGGGGATGGAGACGTGGATATTGTGTCGCGCCGAAGCGAGGTGGGCCAGAACTGGCGGAGCGAATGCTAAGACGAAATCTCTGACCGTAGATGTGGTCGGAAGATCGCGCCGCATCGCCGACGCATCGCCGATGCGTCGGCGATGAGACGGCAATGTCGGCGATACACAGACGACGTCGGATAAGAGACAATCGGGCCTGACATCGCGCCGCATCGCCGATGCATCGCCGATGCGGCGCGATCCTCCGACACAATCTACTCTGACCGCACCTGAGAGGCCTAGAGTCCTGGGACCCCCAGAGACAGGGCAGACGAACGGAACACCGCAGCGAGCAGGTGTCTCGGCGGGTGAGACCGTGGCCTCCAGCTCTGGAGAACATGTCAGCGAGAGAGATTGGCAGAACAGGTCACTGGGAGACACAAAAGTACCCGTACTACAAAAAGTACCCGTGCTGCTAACCCCCTGGACCTCTCACCTGGTGGTTCTGACCAGGACTTCGAGGCGAATCCAGCCGTGGTGACGGCCGCCACCCAGATGGCTCCAAAGGACAGGAACGAAGCAACGGTGGCGACATCGGTACCATGTTCTCTTCTGAGTCCCGCGTCTCCCCAGGGGACCGTCCCCAGGGCCAACTCTTCGTCTCGAGTCGTGCTCTGACGGCCCTGGGTGCCCCGGGAGCGGCACCCCCCCGAGGCCGAGAACGGCAGAGGTACGAAAACGTCTGGACTCATTTCAAGCCTCGCTCCTCTACCCGCGGGGCCGGAAAATTGTGCACTGCACCCCTCCTGGACCGAAGATCGACGACGCAGCGGGAGGCACCAGTGCCGTACGGTGCGTACAAGGCGCCCGCGGCAGAAAGCAAACACCTCGAGGGCCCCTTTTCAACCCCGACCCCCTGGCTCCCAACCCCCACCGTCGTCTCATCGCTCGCTCCCGCTCTCCCGCTCCGGCCCCGGCTCCCGCCCCCAGGGGCCTCCTCCGTCTTCCTCCTCGTCCCTCCTCCTCCTCCTCCTCCTCCTCCTCCTCCTCCTCCTCCTCCTCCTCCTCCTCCCTCCTCCTCCTCCTCCCTCCTCCTCCTCCTCCCCCCTCCTCCTCCCCCTCCTCCTCCTCCTCCTCCTCCTCCTCCTCCTCCTCCTCCTCCTCCTCCTCCTCCTCCTCCTCCGTCGTCCTCCACCTCCTCCCGCTGGCTCACTACCCTTGTCGTCCTGATCCGCTTCGTCCTCCCCCTCCCCCTCCTCCTCTTCCTGTTCTGCTTTGTTCTGTTCCGTGTGGCGCCACTCTTTCCTCCACAAAACAAACGAATGCGCGACGACCACCAAGTGCAACGCTGCCTCGCGCCTGCATGAGGGCGAGGGCGAAGCCGTGACAGGAGGACCCCCCCCACCATAAGCCACGCTCTGCTGCCCTTGAGACTGCCCCTCTTCCGGGGGCAAGTCGGGCATCACCTGATGGAGCGAGCGAATTCTATGCACGCTTGGCTGGTGCCTAATCTCCCACACCAATGGAGCCCGGAACCTCGCCTTCCGAAAACCCGCCCCCACCTCTCCGAACCGCGTGCCCCCCCCCCTCCTCGCCTCCCCAGCGAGAACCCTGCCGCGCCCCCCCTCGAAATTGAAAGTCAGCGGGGGGAGGGAGGTGCGGTCAAAACCCCTCCCCGAGCTGGAAAACATCAACGACGACAAAGTCGTGGACCATGACGACGATGACGATGACGATGACGGCGACGACGACGACGACGACGACGACCACGACGCCGACGACGACGACGACGACGACGACGGCGACGACGACGACGACGGCGACGACGACGGCGACGGCGACGAACAACGCGAGTATGAACGAGGGGAAAGCGGGAAGGAGCAAAGAAAACGGAGGGAGAACCAGGACCCCCGAGAACCATCCCAAATCCACAGAGAACTGAATGAGGCTCCTTGTGCAGCCTGTCCTTCCTCCTCCTCCTCCTTCTCAATCTCCTCCTCCTCCACCCGCTCCTCCTCCCCCTCCTCCTCCTCCTGCTCCTCCTCCTCCTCTTCCGCCCCCTCCTCCTCTCCCTCCCCCTCCTCCTCCTCCTCCTCCTCCTCCTCCTCCTCATCCTCGTCCTCTCCTCCCCCTTGGCGAAGACCGAGGGGGCCGCGGGGGCCTTGCACGTGGAGCACCACTTGTAGCCGGCGGCCTGGCGACCGCAGCGCGGGGACGGCAGGAGGACGAACCGGTGTGCGAACGGATGACGAGGAGAGCACGAGGGGACAAGTGGAGGTGGTGGGGATGGCGGTGATGAGGACGAAGAGGGCGCAGGGAGGGGGGAGGGGATGGGGACGAGAGGAAGAATATGGTGGTGGTTGCGATGAAGGCGCGTAGCCGAGGACCGCCGAGGGCCTCCGGAGGCCGCCACGATGGCAGCCGAGGGCAAGGGGCCGCCGGGGGCCGCCGAAGGCTGCCAAGGGCCACCGAGGGCCGTCGCAGAGTAGCGAGGGAGGAGGTACAGGAGGAGGAGGAGGAGGAGGAGGAGGAGGAGGAGGAGGAGGAGGAGGAGGAGGAGCAGGAGCAGGAGGAGGGCCGAGGGCCGCCGATGGCGGCGGCGAAGGACGAGTGGCCTGCTGCTGCGCCGTCAGCTGCGGGGCGGGCTCGCCCGTGGCCGCGTCCAGCAGCAGCACCGGCGGTGCGCCGGTGACCTCGGGCGACACGCGAAGCGGTGCCGTCGCCTTCTCGGGTGTGCGTCGTCCACGTGGCCAGGAATGGGGATGAGGAGCAGGGAGGAGGAGGAGGAGGAGGAGGAGGAGGAGGAGGAGGAGGAGGAGGAGGAAGACGAGGAGAGAGGAGGGACGAGGAGGGACGAGGAGGGACGAGGAGGGACGAGGAGGAGGAGGAGGACGACGACGATGACGAGGAGGAGGACGACGGTGACGAGGAGGGACGAGGAGGACGGCGAGGAGGAAGAGGAGGAGGAGGAGGAGGAGGAGGAGGAGGATAATGATGTGCACGACAAAGAGAAAGGGGGGGAGGGAGGGAGGGGAGGAGGGATGATGATGCTGCTGCTGATGCTGATGCTGATGCTGATGCTGATGCTGATGCTGATGATGATGATGATGATGATGATGATGATGATGATGATGATGATGATGATGATGATGATGATTATGATTATGATGATGCTGATGCTGATGAGGATGATGCTGATTATGGTGATGGTGGTGATGATGATGACGATGAGGATGCTGATGAGGATGAGGACTCAGACGATGAGTCGGGTGTTTATGATTACGATGATCATGGTGACGATGATGGCAATGATGATGATGCTTCTGCTGCTGCTGCTGCTGATGATGATGATGATGATGATGATGATGATGATGATGATGATGATGATGATGGTACTGAAAGGGGTGATGATGCTGCTGATGATGGTGGCGGTAGTGATGATGAGCAGGGAAATGTCGGGAAATATCTTTTTCAACATTCTGAATAAAGGTATCCCAAAGGGTTCTGGGTGGCACCAGTGAGTAGGGGGCGGGATAGTGGTGAGGAGGAAACTTGGGAAGAAACAGTGCTGGTATCCTCAAGCGTGTTCGGTGGCTGCCAACGGCCTCCAGATGCTACCAGAGCGTGCCCTTGATATCTTGGAGAGGGAGGATGGAGCTGCAAAGGAGAACGGGGAAGAGGTGGACGAGGGGGATGAGCAGGAGGAGTAACTATACAGCCGCACCACACTAAGAAGAGGCGGGTGGGAATGAGGGGGGTGGCAAGGACAACGGGCAGGAGGATGATTATGCTGGATTCTACTCACTAGGGGGCCACGAAGGGTGTTTCCGGCAGCCTCAGAACATTCGCCTGCAACAGCACAATGTTACAGATGGGCTCCCGAGGACGAGCGACGCCGCAGCGACGCCCTTCCCGCAACCGCGTCAATCGACTTGTGGTCGTCCTTACATCCACCTCATGGCCAGGCTGTCTCAACAAATTCAGCCAAGGCGACTGAGCTTACAGAAACAAACGGCGAAACAATAAAACGCTGCCACATCACAAGTTGGTGACGAAACATCTGCGCCTCAAAGATGCGATCTGGACGAACGCCTACTCAAATATTCTCGGCGTCGGTGGGCATCGTGCAAGTTTGCGTCGTAGTGCTGGCCTTGAGGTGGGCCTGCCCAAAATGAAAACGGCCACCACAGCAGAAGTATAACGCTGAAGCGTGCCGCCAGATTCTGAAGAACCCTTTCCGCTGAGGTTGTGGAGGCGACGCAGCGGGCTCTGGCTCAGATGGCGAACGGTGGACTGGAGCTCCCGAAGGAGTGGATAGACGCTCGCGGCCGCAAGCGCGTTGCACAGGCGGCTAAGGCACTGCTGATGGAGGAGAACGTGTGGCTCGGCGTTGCCACACTATCAAGATGCACAACCTCGTGAATCATAAACATAATAACAATAAGCAGAAGAAGAACGCAATTCGATCCTTGGCACCATCACTGGGAAGAAGACTGGCACATCGAGGAAACAAGCCTTCGAGCCTCGCATGATTTTACGAGGCGCCGTAAACGCTGCGCGTATCTGGGGCGGAGAAGAGGAGAACAGGGCCGACGACGAGAGGGCGGATGAGGAAAAGAAAAGACGACGAGGGGCAGGGAGAGGATGAGGAAAAGAAGAGGGACGACGAGGAGGACGATGACCCCTTGGTCTGGGCAGGCGGAAGGGTCTGGTCGCAAGTTTGCTCTCCCAGCATCTCAAGGGACTCTGTCACTGAGCCACGTTCGAATTCGGCAATTGCTGAGGATGAGCAGGACGCGGTGAATTCTGACGATAATGCGAAAGAGAGACTGGAGGGGAGAGGAGGGGTAAAAGGAAGAGAAGGCGGAGGAGGTGGAGAAGGAGGCAGAGGAGGATGATGAGGAAGGCGACGAGGATGAGCTGGGGAAGGAGGGCGATGATGACCTGGTGGGCAAAAGAAGGAGGAGGAGGAGGAGGGGGAGGAGGACGAGGAGGAGGAGGAGGAGATAGAGGGGGAGGGGGAGGAGGACGAGGAGGAGGAGGAGGAGGAGGAGGAGGAAGGGTATGAGGAGAAACGAAGGAACGATAAGGTAAGCAAGAGGAGGAGCATAATGAGGGGATGATAGTTACGCAACGAACAGGACGAGGAGGACGAGCAGAAGCAGTTGGCGACCTCTTCCACTTCCCTCTCCAGCCCCCGCACCATCCCCTGCAGCTTCTGCCGGGGGATGATGCCAGGGTCGGTGCACTGCGTCAGGCACATGAACGCCACGGTGGACACGAATATGCCTCAAGTGGAGGAGGAATACCCCGTGGAAAGCGAGGAGGAGCAGGATGACGGAAAGGACGTCCCACATGAGGAGGATGAGGATGAGGATGAGGATGAGGATGAGGAGAAGGAGGAGCTGCCGCAGGTGATGATCGGCAGCCATATGGTCACGTGATCCCACAGGTACGGCGCCACGAAGACGAAATACGCGCCGACGGGCAGCACTATGAAGGTCCAGGCGCAAGTATTGTACCCGAAGTCGATGTCGGGGCCCGTGACGCAGCGGCCCCGGCACAGGATGCGGCTCTTCCCGCCCACCTTGGGCGGACGCGCAACGTGCGCTCGCCGACGGGGTCGCGCGCAAGCTGCCCCGTTTCGGGCCCGGGGGCCGCGATGGCGCTTGCGCGCGCGCGCCGCCAGCGGCCGCCCTGGCCACCCGAGACAACTGAAGACCTCCGAGGGCTCCCGGAGGTCTTCGAGGACTCTGGAAACCCACCCCCCCCACGGGCGTCGTCGGCCCCGCGCCCCGCGCCCCGCGAGGAGCGCGACCGCCCTCGGGAGCGGCCATGTCCAGCGGGAGGCACACCGGACGGGGCCCCTCGGCTCCGACAGGACAGGCTCCGACTGGACTCTGCGTCGCCCGAAAGAGTTAGGTCGGGCGTGTCCTCCTACAGGCGGGTTTTGGCCGAAAAGTAACACATCGTCAAAAAATGCTCGAAAACGGTGAAAGATAGAAGGAACATCGTCCCCAGACTATTTTCTTAGTGTTTTTTTTGAATATTCCTCCTCTAGAGGGACAGGCCCGACTTAACGAAAGAGGGCCGAGCCCAGTGGGATAGCTACCAGATGGAGCCCCCTCGGCTCCGACCCGGGCTTGCCCCCCCGGCCAGGCTCAGCGTCGCCCGATCATGCTCCCAGGGGTCGAGGAGGAGGAGGAGGAGGAGGAGGAGGAGGAGGAGGGCGGAGCGCACTCATGTGTGCGCCGTTGACACCGGCCGTTGCGGGACGCACTGCAGGGGACTGAGTGTTTTACCCCCAGCCCTCGAGGGGCCAGATGAGAAGGTTTTTTGACGCTTCGGAAGGTTCTTGGGCCTCGGGGGGCCTCTGGAAGCCTGAGGGCCCGTGGGAGCCACGACCCAGGGCGGCAGCAAAACTCACCACTCACTGGGCGTCACCTCTCTGTCTTCGGCATGTCATCGGAGTGAGCCTGTGGCATCAATCAGTAGGGCGTCTACCTTCGCCCACCTCGGCCTCCGCCACGGCAACCGCCCTTCCTTCTGCGCGCTTGCTCTAGCAAGCTTCCCCCTGTGGGCCTTCGGCCAGCCTCCCGCTGAGGGAGGGGGAGTGGTCCACCCTTCTGCCCCCCTCGTCCCTTGCACTCGGCCCGCCCAATTCCAGACCTCTGTGTTTCAGCCTTTCGGCCTTTATGCCATCAGGTCCCACGGCGTGAGCCCAGCATCTTGGAAAAGAAAGGGGGTCTGGAGTCGAAACCTCCCACATCACCTCGTTATGGGGATGCTACGACCAAAGAATGTCTTGGTGCTGGCCCGCTCAAACTGATCCCCATATCCATCCCCAGCACCACTCCGCTCCGTCCACCGAGCCGCTTCCAGCCATGGCCAGGGATGCGGGGCCTCCGGAGGACACAAGAAGCAAGGGCAAGCAGGATGACGACGACCACGGTCAGGAATCTTTGCTCAGCGCGTCGCGGCGGCGGCCCCAGTGGCACGCCATGCCTGGCAAGCGTACAGCGTGTCGCTCCGCTCCGCAGGGCGGGAGGCTGGGAAAGGCTCGGGACGTCGACATTCGCGGGCCTGGACGTGGCTAGCGTGTCTCGCCGAAGCGCAGGGTGCCAGGACCGGGGGAGCGACACGCGGAACACGAGTTCCCGACCGTAGGAGGAGGAAGAGGAGGACAACGAGAAGGGATGCCCGCCTGATCCCAGACCTCGAACACTCGCGGATATGGCCTGCTGTACGACGACGTCGAGCAGTTCGATGGGCCCATGCTCTCCACCACGTCGATCCGGCTCCAGCTGGTGATGTTCCTGTCCGCCTGTGCGGCCGAGTGCATCCCCATCCTCGTCCCCAGTCCTCCCCTCCTTTCCTCCTCCTCCTCGATCTTCGATGCTCCGTCCTCTTGCTTCGCCATCCTCCCATCCTTTCCTTCCTCCTGCTGGGTCGCCACGTGAACGTTTTCTTATTCGGCGTTTCGACATTTGGCGGAAGGGGGGGGGGAGATGGGGGGTTCTGGCTCCGGACCTCTGCTCAGTGCGACTGTTTGCAGCAGTGCGCACTACAGGGGAGACTCCACCTGCTCGAAACAGTCGCCAAAAACAGCCAATATCTACTCAATGGGTGGGGGGAGGGGGGTGCGAGGGCCCGCGCCGATCGGCAAAACAATGAATGAGAACACGACGACCACGTGGTGCGGCTCCTCGGCAACTGTCCCGGAGCCGTCGCCGTGTGCCTCGTCGGCTCGGACGAATCGGGCAATGAGCGAGGTGGCCTTCGTCGTTCTTTTACTATCGGACGGGCGTGGCTCCCCGGGTGGATGGAGCGGGGCACCTCGCGGAGTGCCACTCGCGGATTGCGCATTCTCCTCCTCGATCTTCGATCTTCCCTCCTCCTCCTCCTCCTCCTCCTCCACCTCCTCTTTCTCGTTCTGCCCCTCCCTCTCCTCCTCTCCTTCTCCTTGTCTTCTTCCTCCTTCTCCCCCTCCCTCCCTCCATCCCTTTCTCTCCCGAGTGTCTTCTGGTGCCCCTGAAAAGCCCCCAAACTCCCTCAAACCTCTCAGAACCAGCCCTCCCAAGCCTCCTCCTCCTCCTCCTCCTCCTCCTCTTCCTCCTCCTCTTCCTCCTCCTCCTCCTCTTCCTCCGCCTCATCCTCATCCTGCTCCTCCACCGTTTCACTCCATCTTTCGTCCCTCCGCACTACCTCCTGCCCATGCTCCATCTGCTTCTACTGCCCTATACCTACTTTTGAACAACCCTGCCTCGCCGCACGACGAGACGTGTGCGAGCCCGAGATGTTGCCTGACACTTCCCAAGGACGTATGACGTCAATGATGCGAGGGGTGTCGAACAGCTACACGAACTGAGGGCTGGTAGAAATAAACATGTGGCTATCGCATCAGCGCTACGCGACTTCGCCCTGAACCATTTCAGAACTTGCGCTGGTCTGGGGTGTGATCTGTCTGTAGGACGTGGCCCTCGCCGTAGCGCCGCGCGCATGTCCGTCTTCGCAAACTTCGCCATAGCTGCTCGGCTGGAAGACGCGTGGCTGTCCAGATGTGGTTCTCGCCAACCGGTGCCGCATACGTGCGCTTCAAAAGCTCCCAGCAGTTTCACGAATGGAGCACGACTCCTTTCGAACATGGCGCATCGGCGTGGGACCTCTTACAACGAGCATGGTCAGGTGGCAAGAGGTCCGTTGCCTCAAATGTTCGAGCACTTGTCTACTCTGCAATATCGAGATGCTTCATAGACCACCCCTCGGGTGATCCGCCTGCCCCCTAGCGGGGCCATCAGGCTCCGCGGCTTAGGCTTGCTGCTCCCTGCTCCACTTCCAATCTCCAATCTTCGCTGTTACAATTCTGTGTTCTGCTTCCTATTGTGCATTGTTGAAGTCCGCGCGAGGGGGGAGTCTAAACGGGCCCTGGTTACGTCCAACTGGGGGGGTTCTCAGAATTTCTGGATGGTCCTGGGACACGTGCGAATACGGGAGACTCGCGTCCCTGAAGCCATAATCCTTTGTAAAGTACGCCATATATTCGCTCTCGAGACCACAAGCCAGAGCAAATTACGCAGTGTTCGCGCTCCCGAGATTCGCGTTTCAGAGGCTGCACTCTTTTGTGAATTACGCGGTAGTTGTGTCCCCGAAACCACGATCCCCAGTATTAGACGTTTTTCGCGTCCCCAAAATCAGAAACCCTGGTTGAATATACCATACTCGCGCTTTCGAGGCCACAATTCTTCATAAAGGCCCCCAAAACGGTACAAGAGGCCTCGGAGACTGCCCAAGAGTGCTCCAAGACGCCCAGGATGGTCCCAAGACGGCCAAAGGGGCTCCCAAGAGGCCCCGCAAAGTGTCCAAGAGCACCCCCAAGAGGGGCCTAAGAGGCCAACATCTGCAATGCTCCTGCGGTTTTTGATTGGTTTTGGAACGCTCAACTTTCCGTGCTTCCGGCGCTGGCCCAAAAGGCCCCCCAAGATCGCCCCAAGACGGCCCCCAAGACGGTTCACGAGCCCCCCCAAACGTCTCAAGATACCCCCAAAACGGCCCACGAGGGCCCTACTACGGCCCCAAGAGTGAACCGAGACGGGGGACCCGAACCCAAATGGCCCCCGTTCGGAGTCCCGACGCTGCTTCACGACGGCGCCCAGGCCTCACAACATAGCTCTTGCGTTCCCATTCTTCGAGAGAGGGGGCCAGCAATAGGGGGCGAAGCCCTTACGGATAAGAGGGTTTTGGGGGGAAATTGCATTCTGATTTCGTGCCGACTGGGACTATAGTGTGTGTGTGTGTGTGCGTGTAAAAAAAAAGCCAACGTGGATTTCAATTACAGCTGGGTTTTCATGTCGGTGTTCTGTCGATCTGAGTCTCGATATAACTTCACATCCCGATTGTAAGTGCATTTGTATTTCGACTTGCACTGGAAATTACATATCGATATAATGTGCATGCCGATGTGCACCCTTGTGCATTCCGAATTCATTATGATGTGCACTTAGAATGTGCTCTCAGATGTATCCCATTGTTCATGCCAATGTGCTTTTCGATGTGCGCATCAGTTGCAACCATCCGCGTTCTGAGTGAAAGTTCGGCTCGCACTCAGGATCGAGTCATTTATTTTGATGTGCCGTCTTTCCATTGGATTTTGGATTGTGATATGCCGTCTCTTCATAAGCAACCAGACTTGCGGCTTGATTTACATCTTGATCTCCTTTGGGGACGCAGGACGTGTATGGAGCGCGACCATCCCTGCTCGACTCGACGCTGCGGCAGCTGCGGTGCGACTCGAGAGGTCGCCACGCGAACCAGAGCAACTGCACACGCCGACCTGCAAGAGGCAAGCGCATTTCGACCTGCATATATAGAAAAGAAAAACTGCCTAAACATTAACTGTTGGCGCTGCGCGCGGATTTCTTGGATCTGCGCCAGACCCCCCTCCATGGCGCACGGAGCGCGCCAGGGGCGGCGCTGGAGGCGGCGCCGGGGGTCTCAGCGCGGATCCCAGAAATCCGCGCGGAGCGCCAAAAGTTTATGTCAATGCCGTTTTTTGTTTGACGACAGTTTGCAATGTGATGTGCACTTCTATTCGCAATTCTCAGCAAAGACAACACCAAGAAACCCCACGGGACAAGGACGGGACATCCCACGACACAACCGCGAGACAACCCACGGGACACTTGCACGATTTAGCCCTCGGGGCAACAACACACAGGACAACCCACGGGATAACTCTGGGACAAGCGAGGAACTGCGCAACTGGAGAAGAAACGTGTTGTACAACTTGACCTTCACTACGCCGGCACATCGTCCCACTCGCGCAACTTCGCGTCGCCTGCCAACACGACACATAACGAAACCGAGACCGATTGGCCAGTTGGAGTCAATTCCATCTGTCCCCCCAAACCCTACTGCTTTCAACAATGCCAGACACATTTGCCAGCGTGGACCCGAAACAATGAATTCTTGCACCCTGAATGGGCAGGAGATGCGGTCCGGGCTATTTGGTTTGAACTGTGGTGCAGGCAATGGGGTGTACGTAATTTGGCGGAGGCAATGTGGTACAAGCTAAGAGTGGTGCAAGCTAGGTGGGGTAAGTTATGTGGTGGAGGCTGTGTGGTGCAAGCTGTGCGATGCAAGCTGTGTGGTGTAAGCTGCGTGGTTCCAGCTGGACTTCAATCTGTGCATCGCAGGCAGCTCGAGGCGCCCACAGTGCGCCGCGGCCGCCGACCGGGGGAACCATCGGCAGATTCGCCCAGCGCATCGGGCGCACACGACCGACGTCGTGATTTTTTCGCAGCGTCGACCCCCATGCAGGGGTCTGGACCCCTTCCCTGGGACCGGTTTCTCGCCTGGAAGCGTTTCTTGACGGCCCCGGGGCCCGGGAAGGGCCCCCGGGGGAGGCCGCAACCGGCAACAAACCTCCCGTCGGGAGTCTTTTCCGCAGCGCGGGGAGGTCTGGGGGAGGCGCCCACGGCCGCCGACCGGGGGAGACCTCGGCGGCCCCAGCCAGCGCACGGCGCGCCCACGAGGCGCCCACGGCCACCCACCGCGGGAAGCCTCGGCCGGCCAACCCGGCGCACGGGGGGCGCCCACGAGGCGCCCCCGCGGTCGCCCATCGGGCGGAACCCGGGCAGACCCCGCCAGCGCACGCGGCGCCCACGAAGCGCCCACGGTTAAGTCGGGCACGTTCCTCTACAGGAGGAGTCTAATAGTCAAGACGATAGCCAAAAAATAGTCTGGGGACGAGTTTCTTAGTACGCATTCGCATTTTTGAATATTTGTTGGCCATCTCTAATTTTTCGTCCAAAATCCCCCTGTAGGAGGACATGCTCGACCTAAGCCCACGGCCTTTTTTTTTGTTCGTCCCAATCCCCCTGTAAGAGGGCATGCCCGACCTAAGCCCACGGCCGCCCACCAGGCGAGGCCTGGGCAGACCCAGCCAGCGCACGTGGCGCCCACGAGGCTCTCCTGTTCGCCCACCAGGCGAATCCTCGGCAGACCCATCCGCTGCGTGAACGAAAACGCAGGCTAGCCAGCGGGAAACCCAAGCAGTAAGCTATTGCACTGTGGATTCGTAAGGCGTCTGGTTCAACCATGTGGAAAAAGCGGTGTAGTGGAAGCTATGTGGTTCAAGCTGTGTTGCGCAAGCTATGTAATGCAAACTACGTTGTGCAAGCTATGTAGTGCAGTCGACGAGGTGCAATTCATTTTGTTCGTAGTGAGTTGTCAACGCCACGCTTGGCGGTATCTTCCCACCCTCCAACCAGCAAATTGTTTTGCAAAACCCATGCGGCGGCGATTGCGATGACTGTTTGGCCTTGG